GTTTCAAACAGTAAACAAAAATGTCAGTTGTCATTAAAAAAAATTAAATGACGTCACAACTCAAAAAGGAATGACGTCATAAATATCACTATAATGTCAAAATATAGCATTAAAAAAAATCAACCTGTTCAAGGATTTTTTTGAAAAACGACCACTAACAATATTTTTTTAAATTTAATTAAATATGCTTCTTTTGTTTTTTTTATATTGTTTAGAACATTTCAGTAACATTAGTTACAGTAAAAAAATAAACGTGTACTATACAAAATGCAGAACTGTTCTAGCCCCACTTTAAAATGGGCCTGTTTTCACCCCGTATTTGTAAAAAAATATAGTGTGTTACTAGGTACATACCTTCTATGGACAATTTACAAAATATCTTTTTTTGTTTTTTTTTTCGTTAGAAATTAAGGAATCAAAATAATTTTACATTCTTTTTCTCTACATACTTCACATCATGAAGTTGAAAATACTAATTTACTAATTTCAGAAAAGTGTGACTAGTATTTATTTTTATTTATTTAATTTTTTCATAAAAACAAAAGCTGTGAACATTAAAAATACCTTCAAGAATTATTTTTTGATAAAATGTACGAAAATAAACTAGACACCACAAAAATTAACACAAAATAAATAAAATGACACAAAGTTTACACATTATAAGTTTCAAAGTGACAATGGTCAAAGGTGAATCACAGTGACCTCACAGGTGTTGACTGCCTTATAAAAAGTAAATTTTTTTACTAGCCTGGATTTGTGTCAACTGGGAAAAACAGTTTTTTCCTTATAATCTTGAAAATTAAGACAAAACATGTTATCTTAACACAACCATAAATTTTTTTACAATGTTATAGAGGTCAAGACCAATAAATTGTTTAATTTTTTGATGGTAAAAAATAAGTAAAGGTCTTATCTTTGTCTAAATTTAAACTACAAGCTTAATCAGGCATGGTTTTGTGGGTTGCCATTAGAAGTCAAAATTATCAATGAATGGCATAAATTTAAAAGTTTGGCAAGGGCACAATGAAAATGCGTTTCATTGATTTGTGAAATTCGAAAATTCATTCATTTATTCTTCTGTATGTAGATTGACCTAGAAAATATTTAATATGAATGAAACAGACACCTTTAATATTTTAGATTTTAGATTTAATATTAGCCTCTTACTGGTAATTATTTACACTGCAGCTAATTAACTTGAGTACCCATTTGAGAAATTAAAATGCACCGTTGTGCCAACCTAATAAGCGTGATAACATAACATCGATACTTGTTCAATAATTAGTCTTAATTGTTGTTGATGAAACGTACTCTTTATCACATGCAGGAAAAATTCTACTTACTTTTGCCATAGTATCGCGAAAATCACTAGATTTACCACAGAACTCATTTTGTCCGGCAAACTTAACACTTGTTGAAAAGCATGTATTCCAAATGTCTTCCTTTAACATTAATAATTTATCGCTTATTACGTCACCTAATCAGCGCCAAATTCAAACCATTTCATACATTGTGTTCAGTGTTATCAGCAGTCTTCTGGAGCAAACATCGCGCTCCACACAATAATAGAAACTGCATCAATTTGTTTATTCAAATTCTAGTTGAGGTTATCTTGGGATTTTGGTCAGTTCTATTTACAAAGTGACAACTTTGATGCATTTTGACCACCACCAAGGAACGATTTTATCTGACCTGGATTATTTTTAACTCGAAAAAATGATAACACGCGAGTAAGATTTCCTAATATCGGTTGAAATGATATTTCCGTTGGGTGTAAGAAAATCTGGGGATTTTTTATTCGAGACCCCTATGAAGAAAGCATTTGTTGGTACTTTACGACATCAGCAGCACACCCGGACTATGCAGATGGGACAGCTTAGCAATGGGCCTTTTCATTGAACACTTGTGTTCTGCAGCTGTATATCCTGACGGTCTATTTCTATTTCGACCGCCCGGTGTATAATACCCAAACCGTGAGATCATACCCTCTAATTTTAATTATCGCTAATTGACACACTAATGGACTACTATGGCATATTATGCGCATTTCTTTAACAAAATCAATCAAAAACAAATTGATGTGACCTTATTTACAACTCTGACCTTGAACACAATGAGTTATCAATGAGACTGATTTTATACTCGTTGCAAAATTTCGTCACATTTGAAGACAGTTTTCTACACGTATTATTCTATTGTCGTTTCAAATATTTTTGTCACTGGAAAAGTTTTATTTGTGTTTACAATCACTCGGTATAAAGTTTAATTTTTAATTTAAAATAAATATTCAATAATTTGCATCATTAAATTATTTGTGATACCCGATGTTTTGCACACTACATTTAAAACAATAACAATTAAACTTTTCCTATAAGACAAAGTCTAGGCAAGCGATTTACAATAAAAAAAAAACAATTTGTTGATATTACCAGTGTAATTATTTATTTTATTGCAGTAGACTCTTAAAATATTATATTACAAGTAATGGCTCTTATGCAATAGGTGTAAAGTCTTTTTTTTTAATTACATAAAGACTGATAGCTGCAATACGAATAAATGACCTGTGGAGCCATTAATTATGACCTGTATATGATTCTTTGTACTGATGTAGTGAAAGAAAGTAGTACTAAATTGTTACAATAATCAGTGCTGTATTATTATTTATTGCAAAAAAATAAACAGAAAAAATTTTACTGACAAAGCAATCACAAAAAACATTATGAAAACAAAAAACCGCATTATTTGAGCATAAAAAGTAACAGAAGAATGAAATATTTTGTCATTCAGAATTTGTTTTAAGTATAACTGATTGAATATCCTTGTGAGAGGATAAACATAATTTGTTGCTAATTTGTGTTTAATTTCAAACACAGTTGATTTGTTTCTAAATAAAATATGACAATTTCTAAGAAAAAATGATCATTTTAAGCATAATTCAAGCATGTTTTATTTACTGTTTTTAAGATGCTGCAAGCATATTTGTTATCTTTTTAATAATAATAAATATATAATACAAACTCCGTCGTTCGCTAAACGACTTGGAATCCTTCCGGTATCTCAAATTTTCCATTTTCTTTTCCAGTTTTGGAAAAAAGAGTCATTTATAGTTATTTTAATTTAATTTAACAAAAAATCACTTATCAGTCTGGAAATTTTGTAAATATACAGGTGTTCCTTAGAGTACTGAAAAAATGTTTAAAAAATTCTCTGTCAAAAAATTTTGATATTTTTTTTTTGACATTTGACACATTTTATGTCTATTTAATGATACTGATGATCTTGTGTTTTTCATAATGATTTAGTAAAAGTACAAAAATTTTGCCAAAAAAAGCCACAAATAACATTGAACAGAGTTACAATTGAGGATACAGCTTTGTTGTTTCCTCTTCTAATAGTCTATAGCAAAAAAACTTGGAAAATTAGTTTTTCAACAGAAATAAATAGAGTCAAAGTGCAAAATTTAAAATTTCATTCTTTGAAATCGTTATAGATAGATTTTTTTTAACATTTTTTTTTGTTGTCGAGGGCACCGCCCGATGATACAGTGTCACGGAGGTGTGCGACTTTCCGGACAACCTATATCTAAAAGTTATTTGTATCACAAGAGAGGAAAGTATACATCTTTTCCTCCCACATGTGGAAGTTACTGCCCGAGACTTGTCGAGTATCCACCTAGGGAAGAAAAGACACTTTTCTCATGTGTAATACATATAATTTTTCCTACGATCCAGCAAGAAAAACTTAACAAACCAAAAAAATCTAACAGCATGTTTTCCCGTTTCTATTTTTAACTCCCTGAGACTTCTGAGAGATTACATACATATATTCTTATTGATACTATTTATAAAATATTTGAAATATTTTTTTTGCATGTTCTATTGAAAAATCTGTTTATTGATAATTTTCAAATATTCGTATTTAAAGCCTTAATTAAATAATAATACAAGATGATTAAAAAAAACCAACAGGCGCTGTAGAATTTTTATTTGTGGCCCGATTTCGTAAATTAAAAAAATTAATTAAATGACTTTTTAGACAATGACAATTTTAGAATTTTTCTAAATGTTATAGTATATTTTGGTTTATATTCAACTTGATAATTTTAAAGTGGAGCTCATATTTTTGTCTTCATAATTTGGAAAGTATAGTTTTCTTGGTACAGACATGTGCAATGTGTTTCACTTTTACTAGAAATTATTATTTAAAAAAATTATCAAAATTTAAAAAAATAATAAAAGTTAATAAAATTTAGTTGCATGGTGTCAAATAAGACAATGTCACTATTGTAATGTCAAAAAGTAAATGAAAGAAAATATTGTCAATTTATTTTTAATTTTTTT